CATTAATAAATAAAAATCATTATTTCAAAACAGAATTTTGTATTTACTCAGGCTATCTTTGTGTAATATTAAAATTAGTTTGATGATCTGAATCATTCAAGTGTGACAAATATGAAAATAAATAAATAAATAAATAAATATATATATAAAAAATTTTTTGCTTGTTAACTCTCGTGTATTTTTTACTCTTGTTTTTCACATGCAAACTTCTGTGCTGATGCTCTTTAATATTCCCCTGAAAGCGTTTGTACATTTCAGTTCAGGTGTATCATTTCTGTTTATTGAATAAAAAAAAATATCTGTAACAACTAAGACTACCCATTTCAATACAATATTTGGAACATAAAAACAATCAGTGGTAAAACATCAAATTATGAAAACTAAAAATCTCCAGAAGGAAATCTTGTGGTACATTACACACGTTTTTGGCTAATGACTGATAAAACATACTAATAATCAATCCGTAACATTCTCAACTTAGCTTCTGAGAGTGAGCACTAATTAGTGCACAACAGAAAATCCAACTAACCTGGCTTAGGTTTGACAAGTCCAACTGACAGTATAGTTTCACTGAGCCCGTCAAAATACGCCACATCACTCCTGAAGAAACGAACAAGACAAATCAACATCAATGAACTTCGTGTCTGAAATACTTAATACCAGAAATATTCAAAGTGCCAACATTCTGCTCATTTACAATTTTATTTTCGGGGTCTGCTGGAAAACATTCACATGATTTAAAGCTCACACATTTTTCTCACGTCATAAGATCGTTTACATGCACAGACAGCTATATTACATGTAAAATAATTAAAAATAAAAAGCATAATAAGTGCCCTTTAATGACATCCAGTGTGTCGATACTCACCCATCCTCATAATTCCACATAAAAATGTCATTATCGATGGTGAGCCACGCTCTGGAGATTTCAGGGAAAACTCCCATCATGCAATTGCACTGCATATCTGGTAAAAAGGGGCAATTAAGGCACTGCAAACAACTCAGGGTGCTTTCACACCTGGCCTGTTGTTTCGGAACCTGGCGCGTTTCCCCCCTGAGCTCGGTTCGGTTGGGCATATGTGAACACGGCAATTGCGCCCGGATCCGCGCCAAAACAATCGGTCCGAGATCGCCCAAACGAGGTGGTCTCGGCTCGATTGAAAACAAACTCTGGAGCGGTTCGGTTGTAGTGAGAAAGCAATCCGATCTAACGGACCAACGAACCAGGCTATATCACAATGTATAATGGGTAATTACGCAAGTTCTGTGAAAAGCATCAGCTTTGTTGTTTTGCTAATACTTCAAAATGAACCTGTGAATGTCTGTGGGTGAGCACGTCTTCACCATTCAAAATAAAAAAAAACGCACTTTTTCATTTTATAATGCCGTCTTTTATTGCTCTTCTTCCTAGTATGTGCATTTTAAAAATGATTTCCCGAAGAATCCTGGACTCCTGCTCAAAATGATAAATAAGG